ATTCGGTTCTGCCTGAGCAGGCAAGCTTAATTTAAATTTCTCCCTGGTTGCCTCTGTCTGCTTAAGGCTAAATTTAACTCCCGGTTGGTTAGTTGGGTCAACCGATGGCTTTTGGGTGTTCCCGTGGTAGTTAACCCCTTCCCTGACCCAGTTAAGTGTGTTAAAAGTGTTTGTGTGTCTCTATCTGCAAGCAGAATGTTTTGCAGGGAAGAATAAATTGATACGAAGAATAAATTAATAGGCCGCCTGGTTAGGCAGTACTGGTGGTCCTCGGCTTACGACCACAGTCGAGCTCCAATTTTTTCTTCCTAAGCGAGACGGTTGTTGAACGAGTTTTGTCTCATCGTACGACCTTTCTTACCACAGTGGCTAACGAATCACTGCAGTTGTTTAAGTAACCCGGTCGTTAAGCGAGTCGGGCTTCCCCATGCATTTTGCATGTCAGAAGGTCGCAAAAGAGGATCGGATGACCCCCGGGACACTGCAACCGTCATAAATGCGAGTCGGTTCCCAAGTTTCTGAATTTTGGTCATGTGATCCTGGGGAAGCTGCAACGGCCGTAAGCGTGAAAACAGTCCTAAGTCATTTTTTCCAGTGCCGTTGTCACTCTCAATGGTCATTAAATGAAGCGTTGAGGAGTCCCTGTATTTTTTATTGTCTGTAAGCTGCCCAGAGTTACAGAGAGTGAGTGGGGGGCCCTATAAATCTTCAAAAGAAATAAACAAGTCAAGGGAACAAAACTGAAAGCTGCTTTGAGGCTGAACCTTCGCGGGGGAATCACATATTTTATTTATTTTGGTTTCACTAAAGCGAATTTATATATTTATATTTATATGCAGGGGACTCCGGGCAGCTTGTAAAATTTAAAAAAACATCCACCCTAAAATAAAAGCCATGAAAACCCACCGCCCCGTATTAAATCCTAGTTATGTTTTAAACATTTATTTATTTAATTTCTATCCCGCTTTCCTCTGGGACCCCGGGAGCAGCGTGCAAAGCGTTCCTTTTTCCCCCATTATTTCCCAAACCGCGATCTTGCAAGGTTGATGTCAACGCTGCTAATCTTGAATATTCTTGCTTTGACAAAATAGGCAGAATTGTCTGGTACTTTTAGAGTTAATTCAGATGAGAACGAGAGAGGAGAGAAAAACCGGAGGCGGAAGGGGACCGGAAGTGAATCTTTGCCCTCCAGGTTAATCGGAAGATGTGAATCATGACCCCAAAACAGGGGAGGGGAAATGCCTGGAATGTTATGTGCAAAGGAAGGGAAATTCAGATCTTGGCATTCTCCATGCCGTGCTGACACTCCTCTACACCAGGGCTTTTCAACCTTTTCACCCATTGTACCACTTTTAGGATATGGCAACATCTGAGTACCACCAGTCGCCTAGCAAGGTGTCAAAAATTTGATGACCCCCCCAAAAAAGGAAAAAAGTGATAAAGTGCAGGTAGTCCTCGACTTACAACAGTTCGCTTAGTGACTGTTTGAAGTTACAATGGCACTGAAAAAAGTGCCCCTCAAGCCACAGCCGAGCAAGACACCTGCCTGCCCACCCGGTGGCGCTCTTCCTCCTGTCCGAGGTTTTCATTGTTGTGAGCATTTCTGTTGAGGATTGACAGTGGGGGTGGGGGGGGGTGTTTGGTTTTTATCCCCCCCGTCTGCTGGGTGGTTGCAGCAGGTTTTGGTCACTTCACAAGACCCTGGGACACTGTGACCGTCATAAATATGAATCGGTTGCCAAGCATCTGAATGTAAATCACAAGACCCTGGAGAGGCTGCAACATTCCAGCTGATCGGCGCTTCTTCTGGGCTCAGCAGAAGGGCCAGGATGAGTGCCGAGCTCCAGCTGGATCCTGGCGCTGATCCTGGCGCTTCCGCTGAGCCCTGACAGCCCAAAAGAAGCGCCGATCAGCTGGAAAGCAGCGCTGATCCTGGCGCTTCCGCTGAGCCCTGACAGCCCTGCAGCTCCAGCCGTCTTTCGCTCAGGCTTGTGCGGTGCTGCCACCAGTTCAGCTCATTCCCCTCCCCTGCTACCACTTTTCTAGGAGGGTCGCGTACCCCCTGCCAGGTGCCCATGTACCACAGGTGGTACCCGTAACCCTGGTTGAAAAGCCCTGTCTGAAACTTCCCCTGTTCAAGCGTAGATTGAAACCAGCTTCCCCAGACCCAGGCCAATCTTTCCTGGCCCCCCCGTTTCCAATTCTGCTTGTCCTGGGTGAAAAGGACTCTTATTGCAACTTCAAAAACATTCTTAGTAACCAACTTTTCAGAATGACAGAGTTGGAAGAGACCTTGAAGGCCTTCTAGTCCAACCCCAGTTCCAGCCACTGCTGTTTATATGTTTTAGCCTCCAGGTCTTTAGTCATCCTAGTTGCTCTTCTCTGCCCTCTTTCCAGAGTCTCAACACCTTTTTTTTATATCGTGGTGGCCAAAACTGAACCGAAGGATTCCAAGCGTCGGTCTTATCAAGGCTTATTTCTTCTGATTCTGTGGCCAGCTTGGAAGGACCGGAGACATCTTGGCTGGAGGATGCTGTGGTCCGTTGCCAGGGCAACGCGGAACTTAGAACCCCAGCCTCTCCAGAGAGGCGGATGTCCCTGCAAAGGCATCGTTCCACCTTGCTTGGGCGGCTGGGCCGAGAGGGGGCAGCCGTTAGCATGTGGCCGGCCGTGGGGACAAAGAGGTGATGGGGCCCTTCTTGAAGATCTGGGCCAGGAGCTGTGGGTCAGGAGATGGAGCAGTTTCCGGAGAGTAAGGTGCCCTGGTGGTGGGGGGACAACAGGGGTTGTGATGGGGAAAAGAGGTCGACCATGTCTTAGCGTCAGCCTTCAAGGCTGCTTTATTCAGACCCAACTCTGGGGTGGTGGAGGTGGACGAGAAGGACCCGCCTGGGGATCTCAGCCAGCTTCTAGCCTGTATGTGTATACAGAAATCTGGTCTTTCTGAATGAAAGTGCGGATCGGTGTTTATCAATCTTGGTTACTTGAAAATGGGTGGACTTCAGCTCCCAGAATTGAAGCATCCGTCCGTCAGTCTGTCTTTCCAATCTATCTATGTATCTGTTTGTCTGTCTATCAAATCTATCATCTATCTATCTATCTATCTATCTATCTATCTATCTATCTATCTATCTATCTATC